GGGGTGATCTGGAGGGGCTGGGGGCAGGGGCCAAAGCCTCTCCCTGCTAGGGCCACTCGAGGCAGGCAGCCTAGGGGAGGCCCCTCACAGAGGCCTTCTGTAGATAGAAAGGCCTCCTCTCTCCAGAGCCTGCTCTGTTGTAAGATGGCTTTCCTACCAGTGACCATGACAAACAACACCTTATCATTTACCGAAAAATCATCTAACTTCCCCACTTTTCATTAATCAGAGACACAGACCTCCCATGGGCAGGAATGACCTGTTCTCCCCTGGGTTCGAGGATGCCAGCCTGGGCGGAGTCTCACCCACTTCAATTATAAAAATGCATCTTGTGTGGCCTTTAGGAAAGAAGGTGGACTTGATAACTTGTAATTAAGCTCCAGGGCTAGCTTCAGGCAGGGCTGGATCCAGGTGCTCAGACAACAGCATGGGGAATCTGCCTCTCCCCGGCTCTCACCTTGACTTTCCTTCGCTCTGGCTGCTCCAGGGGGACTCCCTCCACCAGGCAGCCTTGGAGGCAGCCAGGACGGCAGCTATGGCTGGAGAGGGCACCACCTTCCCAGGCTCCCGGCCAGCGTCCTGGGACTGATGTGTCACCCCAGACCCATCGTGGTGATGTTGCCCAGCCATGCCAGAGACCCACATGAACCCTGGAGCCCAGGGGTGGGTTTGGCCCCACCAAGCCCACCAGAGTGAGTGAGGAGTGGTTCCCCAAAGAAAACTGCATCTCCTGAGCAGGTGTCTGAGGCGTCCGGCTCAGGAGAGGAAGGAGAAGGTGGTCCTGAGAGACGAGGGCTTGGAAAATGGTCCCAGATTTGCTGCGTGATGACCAGGCCGCTTCACCTCCTTCGGCCAGATGAGCTGAGGAAAGGCCTCAGACCGGTGCCCGGAATGCAGCACTGTGCCCGGAGCCGTTCTGGTCGTCACGATGGTCTGAGTGCGCACATGTGCCTGGCAAGGTGATTCCTCCCAGGCGGGTGCAGAAAGGGACCCCTGAGGCTTGGCCCTGTCCCTCCCTGCTCTAGCCCTGCTGGGCTTCTCGACGGACCCCTGTGTGTCCTCAAAGGGAAACAGAGGCCCCTTTGGAGCTTGACCCTTGACCCTGACTCCTGCTTTGGGATCTGCTGCCCCTGAATGTTCCCGCCAGCGTCAGTCCCTGGATGCAGCATCAGGTCCAGGGAGGGATTTGACCCCCAGGGACACTGGGAGCAAGACATCCCTCCGTCCTCACCAGACTCCAATGAGGGGAGCCGTTTGGTGGGGTCTAGGGGTTGAGGGACCTATCTGAGGTCACACGGCTGGGAAGTGGCCCTGTTCAGATCGACCTTCCAGTCCAGCAGACTCCAGACCTCGTGCTCATCCCCCGCCCTTGAGAAAGGAAGGAGAGAAGGGGTGGAGAGAAGGCGATCCTCCGGGGACCTTGGCGACCTCCCCCAGCCTCCTCCAGCTGGCCACCTCCAGCCCTGCCTGCTGAGACGCCTGACACTTGGTGATGTTAGCACAGTGCTGTCCGCAGTGAGCAGGTGCGGGCACCGCCAACAATGGAGCAATTTGCCGTAATGACGGGGAGGCCTGCAGCGGGCGCCAGAGCCGCTTCCCGCCCGCCAGGGCCAGGGGTCTGCTGAGCTGCAGCCAGGCAGGGAGAGTGGTGCCAACTGGATTCGGAGGGCCAGGCGGAGGCCACCCAGCAACGGCTCTCCATCCACCCCTGAGCATGGCCTCTGAGACCTGCTGGGACAGGAAGGGGCAGGTCTGGCATCCTGCCAGGAAGCCTGGATTCTAGTCCAAGCCTTAATGCTGACCTGCTGGGTGGGGTGGGGCAGTCCCTGTGCCCCAGGCCTCAGTTTCCCCTCCAGACACACTTTCTGCCTGACAGCTGGGACTTCAGGTTCCACAGCCCACCCCCTGCTCCTCCCTTTTCTTCCCCCCAGTTCCTGCCCCAGCTTGACTGAGTGGGGTCTTATGCCCGGCACAGTGGAGGGACCCCAGTGCCACTCCATGGGTGCTTTCTGTTAAGATCGACAGAGCTGAGGTCTGGGTCTGAGGCCCACACAGTGCTTCCTGGATGTTCCACTCTGCTCTTGCCCAGGGGGTACCCCCGCCAGCAACTGCACACAGTGGTGTCCCTCCAGAGGGCGCAGTCCACGGGAGTCGGGGAGCTGCTTACACCTGCCGCACTGTGGTGCCCAGAACACAGTAAGTGCTCAGGGACAGTGCACAGGGGCCAAAAGAGCATCAGCCTCAGAGTCACACCTTGCGTTCAGTCCTGGCTGCACCCCCAGCTGCCAAGTGTGGCATGGGCGGGGGTGTCGCCAGCCTCCCAGCCCTCAGTTCTCACATCTGTAGAATGAAGAGCATCCACACCTCCCAAGGTGTCTTCAAGGGCGTAGAGTTCCCCACCTCGACCTGGCACCCAGGGGAGTGCCAGTAAATGTTGGTGGAAAGGCTCTTCACACCCCCAGGCCCGGCTGTAAGCACCGGGTGTGCTGGGGCAGAGACAGTGCCAGGCAGCCGCATTTCCTCCATGGCAAGGCTCCAGAGGCCTTGCCTGGGGCCCCAGCTCTCCCTTGTTGTGGCCCTGGCTCCCCAGTAACTGGGCCGTTCTGCAGGACAGAAGTGGGGTTGCCTGCTGGGCACCCTGAGAGCTCAGGGCTTCATCCCAAGCTGGGAAGGACCCTCACCAGCATGTGCCCAGAACCTGCCCCAGGGCACCCCGTAACTGGCACGGCAGGTGAGCTGTCCGGCCACACAGCTGGTGGCAGCCTCTGAGGGCCTGGGCTGGGGAGACCCTGCTGGCCTGAGCCCCTATTCCCTGTGGGCTGACTGGGGCCTGAATGTGGCCCTGCCTCCTGCAACAGAAGGGCCGAGGGTGTGGCCCTGAAGGCGGCCAGGCCGCCCACACACACCAGGGCAGCCCCGTGCCCCCACATGCCCTGTTCCTCAGGGCCTCCAGGCTGGCTGCTGTTGGTCCAGCTCACAGAAGCTGGATTCCCTGTGCAGCCCAGTCCCACCACTGTGCCTGGCACACAGTGGGCACTCAGTAGACAGCAGTGGCCTGGGGGGGCAGACCCCCCGGGCAGCAGCTCCAGCCCAGGCCCACAGGCTCCATCTCCCTCCCAGATGCTCACTCAACGAGAGAGGCCCCCTTGTGTGTTTGTTTGCTGCAGAACTCGGGTCCAATAGACTCGGTGTCTTTCTTCTCTCTTCCTCCATCACGCACAGGAGCTCCAGGGAGCAGCAGTTTCCAGAGACTGAAGGCAAAATTGCCTGAAAGCTGTGCTCTTATCCTTCAATTTGCAGCCATTTAGCATGGCCAGGCAAGGGCGGTCGGGGCTCTGCTGGGCTGTCGGCGCAGAAGCGCCCATCACTGCGGAGAATGGTTCTTTGTCCTTTCCCAGACAGCTCTGGGGGGACCAATGCGCGCTGCGGAGCCAGGCAGCATGGTGCAGGGCCCACAGGGGAGGACAACGGCTGGCCTCAGGGCCACCCAGAGGGGCGCCCCACTCTGAAGGTGACATCTATCCTCACGGCTCCAGCTCTGCTTGAAACAGTGCCCGGCCCCGGGGCAGAGGTGCACACAGGCTGGGACAAGGATTAGGAAGGAAGGCCCAGGTGTCCCCAGTCTCATCCACCCTCCCTCTGGTCACTAAGATGGGTCTCGTGTGGCTTCTGCCCAGGAAGAGGAGCCTGCCTCACAGGGGTCCCTTGGGTGTCTGGGAGGCAGAGTCAGAAGTTAGGGAGAGGGAAAGAAAGCTGGGGGGGAGGGGGCAGGGGGTGGAGCTTCAGATTCTGGGGAAGTTTGGAAAACAACAGTGCAAGTCTAGCTTTGGGGCATGAGAAAAAGGCTGGCGGCCCCGGGTTTTGCCATTAGCCTCCCCTCTGCAGTACTGAGAGCTGGCGTGGCCAGGACGGGTGCTTTGAGGGGGAGACGCAGGTCTCCCTTCCCTGGTGGACCCCACACCCCCAGCACTGGCTGTGAGGGTAGCTGGGAAATGGTTCTCCCTGCGGTGGGAAGGAGCAGTGTGAGCAGAATCGTGACCAGCAAGGCTGCACTGTCTGAAGTAGGGTGAGCTCTGGGAAGACAGGCCCTGGAGGCTGGAGCTGGGGGAGGGGAGGGGAGGCCGGGCGGGGGGACACCTGGCTCACCGAGAGTTTACATCTCACCTAGGTCAGGCTTGAGTGGTTTCCTTTTTTTTTTTTTTTTTAAAGACGGGGTTTCACCATGTTGGTCAGGCTGGTCTTGAACTTCTGACCTCAGGTGATCTGCCCACCTTGGCCTCCAAAGTGCTTGGATTACAGGCGTGAGCCACCGCGCCCGGCCGAGTGGTTTCAGAGTGGCCTCTGAGCACCTGGGTGAAGCTGGCATCTGCCTCCCTCTCCTGGGGCCCATGGGGCAGGTGCAGCTGCCTTTGGGATTGAGGGCTCACGAGCCACAGCGGAAGGTGCCACCTTCCCTCCCTCTGCCTTCCTCCCAGTGTCCCCATCCTGCACCCTCAGTGCCACCTCCAGGCTTTTGCCCAGGACAGCTCCTCCCCCAAAGATGCCTTTTTTCCAGGGCTCATCCATCCTAGCAGTCCCTCCAGCTCAGTTCCAGCCACACGCCCAGTCCCTCCCGCCGGCCACTGCAGTCCCTCTGCCACGCAGCCCCTGCACATGCTGTACGTGGCAGGGTCCTCCCTGTCCTGGGGGCAGAAGGGCTGCAGAGGCAGGGACTACGTGTCTGTGTTCTCAGCACCAGAGCGGGTCCCCCGAGCAGGGCATGGGCCACGTCTCCTCAGCCGCCAGCCAGCTCCTGAGAAGTGCAGGGTCCAGTGGGAGGGCACTAGCGGGGCATGAAACCCTTCTTGGGATGAAACCCTGGCGTGGCAGGCTGGCCTTCATCCCCACTGCAGTCCCCCCACTTAAAACACAGAGACCTCAGCCTCACACCCATCTCTTGTCTCCCTGGGGTCTCCCCTCAAAGCACGAAGGCTCTGACCACCCCACAAAGTCCTCAGGAATCAGCACCAATAAAAAAATACACTTTATTGTGACCTCACGGTTTGCAGGGCAGTGCAGCGGGCACAGGCAGAGAGCATGCAGAGCGCATGGCACAGGCGCAGGGGATGTGGCGGAGCAGCCCCTGCCCAGGCACCTCCTCTGGACACCCCTTCACACCTTGGGACCCTCGGGCCTGACTGGGCCCCGTCCTCCCACAACCCCCAGAGGTCCTGGCTAGCAGATGGAGTGGCCGGGGCAGGCTTGGCCGCCAGGGCCAGCGTGAGCCCAAAGGCGGGGTGGGCAGAAGCAGCTGGCACAGCTCAGCCGGAAGCCTTAGTGGAGGGAGGAGGGCGTGGGAGCCCACACCTGCCAATCCAGCCCTGAGCTCCTCAGCAATTTTGTCTCTCTTGATTAAACATCCCAGGAACATCAAGTTCACAGACATGTTTTCTTCATCTTTCTGAAAACACCCAGAATGGAAAAGCAGAGAACAGCTTCGAGGTTCCTCGGGCCCCTTGACACTTTTGGGGGCAGAGAGAGTTGGTGGAAAGGAGGTGAAAGGGCCAGGACCGAGGCTTATGCAAGAGACAGACAGCAGCAAAGGCAGTGTCCTGGCTTGTATGGGGAGAGGGATGGTGTGCAGGTGTGTGCGGGAGTGTGCAAGGGTGTGCAGAAGTGTGCGGGGGTGTGCAGAAGTGTGCACGTGCAGAGGCAAACTGCTAGAGCAGGAGGCCTGGAGCACACCCAGGTGCTTGCTTTGGGAAGAAGACCAACCAGTAACTGAAGGGCAGACACCACCAGGCATTGCACTGTCGGTGGGGGGTGGGCAGCATGTCTGGGGCCCTCCAGACTGTCCCTCCCAGTGGAGCCAGAATGTTGGGGGCAGGGCCGACCACCCAGCCTCCAGTCGGGCCAGTGAGGGGCCCTCTGGCCAGCCCAGGAAGGTGCCTCCATGGCAGGGCAGGTGGCCTAAGAGAGGCTGCCGTGGCATTAAGAGAGGGCCACAGACACGGCGGGGCTCACCCCTGGGGTAACGAGCTGGGTTGGGGGCAGCAGGGCCAGCTGCCCAGGAGATTTGGCTAAGAGGGAGGCTCTGGGCCTGCTCACTTCCAGCACTGTTCCAGGGAACTGTGGGGCTGGATTTTGAGCCTCTGGGGGCAGAGCAGCTTGGTGAAGGCCCTCCGGAAGCTGTGGTGGCACAGTGGGTACAGGACAGGGTTGACAGCTGAGTTGACCCACAGGAGCCAGAAGGAGGTTTCGTACCAGTAGTCAGGGACGCAGTGGCCGTGGCAGGCAGCCCGGATGATCATCAGCAGTGTGTACGGGGCCCAGCAGAGCCCGAAGATGCTCACGATGACAGCCAGTGACTTGGCCACCTTCCTGTCCCGAGACAGCCGGAAGCGCTGGGTGAAGCTCTGGGATACCATCTTCATGCGCTTCTCCAGGGAGGCAGAGGATGCCGATGGCTTGGAGCCCCTCTTGAGTGAGCGCGGCCTCTCGGTGCCCCTCGAGGAGCCGGAGCTGGAGGTGGGTGAGGCCGCAGAGCCACCCCCACCGCCACCCCCAAGGGCCGCGTCCCCCGCCTCAGCACCTGTGGCGGCCTCACCCACCCCATACCTGTGCAGCGGCATGGCCTCCCCGTGCCCCTTCCGCCAGCAGCCCCAGCAGCCAGGGGGCGGCCTGCGTGGCGAGGGCTGGGCCTCGGGTGGGGGCTCGGGGCCGGCTGCCTCTCGGGCCCCGTCCAGCCTGAGGCGGGTGCGTCTCTGGATGTTCAGGTAGATGCTGAGGTTAAAGAAGGTGACACTGAGGAAGGGAGTGAAGAACTCCAGGGTGGAGGCCGTGATGAGGAAGTACCAGTTGTAGAAGAACTCTGCGTAGCAGTGGCCCTCAGGGATGGAGCTGCCTCCGGACAGGTACTCCCAGCTCAGGATGGCCGGCCCGTACAGCAGGAAGGCCAGCACCCACACGAGCAGCATCTTCCGCACCGCCCGCCTCGTGTCGCCCTGCTGGGCCCGGTATGAGACCTGCAGATGGGCAGGCTGGTCAGGGGCAGGGCAGAAGGAATATCGGACTGGGTATGCCCGGCAGCCTGTGGGCCCTGTGTGGGCTCTTCCCTCAGCAGCAATGCTCCTCCCTTCCCCTCCGGTCCTCCCTCCTTCCCTCCCTCTTTCCCATCCCTCCCCCTTCCCCTCCCCCGTGGTGTCCTGGGCTGGCTGATGCCCTGCCACACTCAGTGAGAGCCTCAGAAGCTTCCTGAGACCAACCCGAATCCTCACTCTGCTAGGCTGCCTGCTTACCATCCCCTACCAGCTGTGAGCTCCCTGGGGGTCCTGTCCTTGGCCCCTGCACCCTGGGACCAGACTTAGCATGGGCCCCAGACCACGTGCACACACAGCTGTTTCTGACATGATGCATCCTGCAAAGGCCCGAGCCATCTCCAGAGGTTGGAGGTGGGAGGTCCAGCCCCACCCCTGCTCAAGTGCTCGAAGCCCTGGAAGCTGGAGGTGCAGGAGTGAAGCCATGAGCTGGCCCACTGCTGGGAGACATCCCCCCAATTGCAGAACAAAACATCCCAGATCGACATCTCGGTCTCTGGAGAACAGGGAGAGAAGGCAGGGCCCTCCCCAAGGCAGAGAACAACCAGCTGGTGGGGGTAGGGGCAGAAGGGCCAAGGGTCCCACTGAGGGGTCTCAGGTGGGACAGCTGGAGGAGGACCTGAGAGCCTTGCCGCCCTGCCCCACCAGCCTGATGGCATTTACCTTGATCACAGCTATCGCTAATGAGAGCTGGGCAGAGCATCCCCACGCCAGGCTCTGGGCTAGGCTGCTTTCCCCTTTGAGGCAGCTCTCCTTGTGCCCCATGCCTAGGGGCTCCAGAAAGGAAGGAGAGACCACACGGTGATGGGCTCAAGAGGACCCCAAACCCAGGCTCTCTGCACCCTGTCTCTTGGCCTGTCTAGGCTAGAATGAAACAGCCTGCCCTCAGTCCTGCAGAGGACCTGATGAAGCCCTGGGGAGGTGAGCTGCCAAGGAGAAGATGAGAACTTTAGCAGCGGCTCCCTGGGCTGCACGGCAGGGTCCCTGACTCAGGGGGCCCCTCCCACGAAGGGAAACGTGGAGCCAGGATCTGCCACCTGTCTTCCTGGGGCCTGTGTGTTATCCACGCTTGCACTCACACGTGTGAGGAATGTTGCCCGGGGCCTGTGCGTGTATGTACACTTACACTCATGCATGTATGAGGGATGTCGCCTGGGGCCCCTTTGCATGCCTGCACTCACACATGTGAGGGATGTCACCTGCCTTGCCGGTGCCTGTGTGTGTATGCACACTTGTACTCTCACATGTGTGAGGGGTGTCACCCAGAGCGTCCGGCCCTAGATCCCCCCTTAACTCGGAACAGCTGTGTCCAGATTCCCTGCCTCCTGCCTGAGCCAGGACAGTCTGGCTGGCAGCCATGGCCCCGAGTGGGCAGCTGGCCATTGAGTGGCCCCTGTGTCAGCAGCAAGGCCAGTGGGACCAAACCCACTTCTGCTCAGAACTCAGAAGTGACCGTCCCCATCCCAGTGCCTCCCATGGGCATCCAGACCGTCCCTGCAGGAGTGAGCAGGGGCTCTGCAGCCCAGGACTCACGGCTCGGGTGACCGACAGGAAGCGGTCGTAGCTGATGAGCACGATGTTGAAGGCAGAGGAGGTGCACAGCAGGTAGTCCACCACCAGCCACAGCTTGCAGAGGCCCCGGCCAAAGGTCCATCGGCCCGTCAGCACATAGGGCACATACAGCGGGATGCAGAAGGCGCCTGTGGGGAGAAGGGCCACAGTGGGACCACGCCACCAGGAGCCAGGGGACAGACCAACCTCATCGCAGACACTGGCGGGACCTGGGGTCACATAGTGGCTGCCTTTCTGGGACCAGCCACCCTCATCTTACCGCCCCCTCCAGCTGGTCTCAGCCACACACTCTGCCCTGCCACCAGCCTTCACCCCTACATAGCTCCCAGCACCACTGGTGTCCCCTGGACCTGGGGGCAGGAGGGAAGATCCAGGCATGGGGACCTCTGGCCACCACAAGACTGGGAGAGCCTGGAGTCGGGACTCCCTGGACTTCTGTCCCGCCCTCCCAGCCCTCAAAGGAGGAAAGAAGATAACTTCCCTCTCCCCTCCCTCGAGGGACTCCAGCCCCAACCCTCCCTCTCAGCTTAGACAACGAGAAAGCCTTTCTCCTGGGTGACAGGGCACTTGGTTGCAGCCGCCAGCCGCTACTACTGCCAAGCCCGGCTTGGAGCGTCTGGGAGACGCACCTCACAGCCCCAACAGGTGTCTGACGCTCCAGCCCCCTCCGCGTGCCCCGCCCCCCAGCCGGCAGCAGAGTCTGGACACGTGAGAGCGCGCTCCTCCGAGCGTCTCCCCCACCCCCACCTTCCGCACGGTCCCCTCCCCCAGCACAACTCTAAAAATCCCCCTTCCATGTCCCCTCCCCCAGACCTTCTCTAACCCGCCCCCCTGCGCCCTCCGCGCGTCCTAAGTCCGCAGCAGCCTTTGTTTGGCTACGGCGCAGGGGCCAGCGCTGCACCCGCTGCCTTTGCGCCTCTCAGAGCCCGTGTCCCTTCCCGGCGACACCCCTCCCCAGCCCCTGTCCTGCGGCCTGAGTGGCAAGGAACTTCGCCCGTGCCCCCCACCCCATGGGCTCCGGACGCCCCCGGCCCACGCCGGGCCGCCTGGTGGGGTGTGTGCCCGCGGGAGCCACCCGGGTCCGCGCTCCAGTCCACGCCGGCTGGCCACGCTGGGTCCCACGGCTGCAGGGGGCTGGGGATTTACCCACGAGGAAGTCGGAGATGGCGAGGTTGAGCAGGAAGAAGTTGTTCTGGGTGCGGAGGCTCGAGTCGGCCACGAAGGCGAGCATGACCAGCGCGTTGCCCAGCACCGTGGCCACGATGAGCAGCGCCATGAGCGCGGCCAGCACCGCGGTCCAGGCTGCCGAGAAGCCGCGCGCCCCGCCCGCCGCCGCCGCCGCCTCGCCCGCCAGCGCCCCCGAAGCGTTCAGCTGCCCGTCGGGCGGCGCGCGCTCCATGGCCCCGCAGGCTCACGCGGCTCCGGGACGTGGGGCAGGGCGCCGGCCGAGAGCTGGGCGGTCGGAAGGGGCCCCGGCCGAGGAGCCTTGTCTTTGTGGGCCCTTGGCCGGGTCGGGGTCCCCGGGGGGCGCCCAGCGCATGGTCCGCGGGGCCAGGGCCTGGGCCAGGGCGGGCGGTGCCGAGGGGCCGGGGATGGATCCAAGCCCGGCGGGGCCGGCGGCGCGGCTACTGCAGCCGGAGAGGAAGCGGAGCCGGAGCCTGAGCCGCTGCCGGCGCGACCGTGCACCCCGAGCGCAACGCGCAGCCGAGTGCGCCCCGCGCCCTGCCCACCGCCCCCCGCGCCCCGCGCAGGGCCCCCGCCATTGGCTGCCGCCCTCGCCCCGCCCCCTCCCCCGCCCCGCCCGGCGCCGGCAGCACCACGGACAGCGCCGCGTGCCCGCCGGGCAGGCTGGAACCCAGCCCCTGCGCTCACCCTGCGCTCACCGCAGCTGGCTGGGCGCCCGGCCGGGGCTTGGCCGGGTCTGGGGGCTCGCCTGTGGTCAGTCAGCTCGCGCACTCGGAGCCGGGGTCTGGGTTGCTCGGCCTTTCCCGTGCCCTCGGCCCTGGTGACCCCTGCCGGGTCATCATGGGGAGCCCTGGCGCCGGTGGGGACGTGGGGTGGGGGTGGGGGAAACGCCTGCACCCGCTCTCCGGGGAACTTGCCCTGTGGGGCCCTTCCTCGGTTCAGGTTTTTAGAATGTAGGTCTCCGGGGAAGGAACGTCTGGAGAAGAAGGGTTGGGGGGGGGCTTGGAAAGCCGGTGCCCAGACCAGGGGTCCGCTCCACCTCCCGTTTGCACGGACCCTGAGTGCCAGCCTCCCTGTGGACAGGACCCAGTGCAGGGTCCGGGGTGACCTGCAAGGTGCAGGCAGATGTGGAGTTACATAAGGGAAGATGAGGCGCCGGGCGGACCCAGCCGGAGGGAAGGGCATCAGGCCTCGGCTCCG